AATAATAATAATAATAATAATAATACCTCCGAGGGAGCTGTTGTAAGACTGAAATGGATAAATATATGTGGAGCAAATAGAACAATGCCCAGCACATTGTAAAACACCATCTAAATATTTGCATAATTTTAATTATGTTGGCCAATGGTCCTTACAGAGTTCTAATGAAGATTAAATGACATAACAAGAATGTAAGACTTATGCAAAAAATACCATCAAGTGATCATATTTTGCTAGGTTGTCCGGACACAGAGCCTTCCCCAGATCGGGATTTAGCAGGCGCTCACCTGAGAGGGAAAGTAACTGGGAGCGGAAAGTCAGCGGGGGAGGTAGCCCAGTCTGAAGCCTAACAGGGGTCTTTGCGGGCCTGGATGCCCGTGGTTTTCCGGCCCTATATGGCCTGGGTGCCCTTGGGCAAGTCACTCTCCTTTTTCCCCTCTGGCTTCCTGTTCCCTCATCTGTGAAATGGGGACGATGATGTTTGCGCAGCTTTTCTCGAAGGGCTGGTGGTGCTGAGGATCAAAATGGATTATGGATGTAAAAGTGTTTGTAAATGGTAGAGGATTATTAGCTCCCAGCTCTCTTTGTATTTATTATACCAAATAAACCACACTGGGGCCTTCTATCTTTCTTCCTCTCTTGAGGACAAATAGGTAGCCCAGGGTGCTCCAGAGATGAACCTAAGGGAGGTGGCTCCAAGAACAACAGGAGAGATTGAAATTAGATTTTAGGAAGGACTTCCTAACGTTAGCAGGGGGAAGGGAGAGAGACAGAGAACGGGAAAGTCCTCAGGCTCCCGGGCCAGGGAGAGGCCGCATGACCTGCGTGAGGCTGGTGGCTGAGTGAGTGGTTGAAGGGAGGGAAAGGGCAGAGGAAGGCTTTTGGCTCTAGGGGAAGAAGGCCTTGTAGCACAGCTGGGTTTTGAGAACAGAGAAAATGAAGAGCATCAGGGTAGGCCGATGGCTCCCCAGAGGTGAGCCCAGCATCCCAGAGCCTCTCAGGGTCCCCAACTTATGCCACCTGTGCCACCCCACTTTCTGGGGGCAGCTGTGAGCCAAGATGGAGGAAACCCCCTTTCCAGGCAGATGTTTGGGATTGTCTGGAAATTCAACACAAGTGCCGAACGCATTTTCCGACACAGTGTGGGCCCAGCGTCTGTGTGAAGACTCCCTGGAGCTCCATTTGGGCAGGGCTTAGCAGGAAGGCTGGGGTGGCTTCAGGAGCGTGGAGCTGGAGGCCCCCCGGGCTGTGCGGGCTTTTCCCGGGGCTGTGGGGCGCTGGTGATCCTGAGTTTTGGCTGTGTGGACTGCACCTAGGTCCCATCTGGCCCTGTCTAGGTTCAATCTGAGCTGTCTGGGATCTGTCTGGGATCTGTGTGAGCCTCGGCTAGTTCAGTCCGAGCCTGTCTGGTTTCTGTCAGGCCCTGTCTGCATTCCGCTGGGACCCTGGCGAGCTCTTCTTTTTAGATGCCAACGGACTACACCCCCAGGTGGATGCTGTTTGGATCCTGTCTTGATTTCACCCAGGCTCTGGGGGTTGGATTCTGTCTGAGCTCTGGCTGGGTTCTTTTTGGAAATCAGGATGAACTCTGTATGCATTTCCATTGGGACTGATCAGGGCTACAGATGTCATTAAGCTTGATGGGCTCAGATTTTGCCGTCAGACCTCTGTCCCAAGCAGAGAAGGACTCAGGCGTGTGTAGCACGGTGCGCCTCCCCTACAGCCTTTCCTCCTGTCCAGCTCTGAGCGTGTGTGCAGACATGAGGCTCGGAGAAGCTGGAAGAACAAGCCCAGTGAGCCCTCCCAAATGTCCTCGGGGGTGCAGCTGAACGCCAGTGTCCGCACACGTCAGTGCGGCTCAGCTGAGTCTGCGTGCGGGTGAACGCCAGCATCAGTGCATCTCCGTGTGGGTGTCGGGGGGCCTATTCCTGTGTGCCTTGGGTGTCAGCTCTTCTGTCTGTGTTGCGAGTCTGTCTGTCGGTGGCAGTGGTGCTGTGGGTGGGTAAATCCTTTTGTGTCTCTGAGCCCTGCGGGTGGAGGGTTGAGCAGCTGCAGGTTGCAACCGGGAAATCCAAGCCAGCAAGAGTAGGTGGGTGTGAAGTTGGAAGGGGCTGGATGAAAGGAAGTGAATCCACTGCGAGGGAGAGCCGGCTGGGAGGGGAGGGAGAGTGGGCGGGAGGAGGGGGGCACAGGGCGCAAGGGAGGTCGGGGTGCTGCCTGTGTCTCTTATCCAGCCCTCACTGCTTGCTCAACTTCGTGCCTGCCGCTGTCAGTGAAGTGACCTTGCATAGGGGACATGTCTGGTCGGGTGGGGCAGGAGAGGAAGAGAAGGAGTAAAGTGAGATCCAGGCAGGAGAGCAGGGACAGTAGGGAGATCCAGGCTCCTGGGACTCCAGTCCAGGACCCTTCACGGAGCCCAGGGTCAGTTACTGCAAGCCTGACATTGAGCCAGTTGTTGAAATATTGAAATCATCCCTATTGGTTGGTCAAGGCTGACTCTGCGCCCCCAAGGCCACATCTGCGCTGAGAGGGGGTCTTTTGCCAATTTCTTCTAAGGAATCCTTTGGGCTGACAGATACTTTTGATGCCTTTGTCATCTCCCCTGCATGGGACCCCTCCCAGGACCCCTTCTCTGAGCCTGGAGCTGGGAGCACCTGTGTGTGCATGGCAGGGAGAGGGCAGGAGAGCCGGGAGCCAGCCTTGGGGACCCAGGTAGGGCCTGCTCATGGACTCAGCCTTCCTTTGCCCCCAGGCGAAAGACAGTGATGATGAAGAGGAGGTGGTCCACGTGGATCGGGACCACTTCATGGATGAGTTCTTTGAACAGGTAATGGGCCTCCAAGGCCCCCAGCCCCAGTGCCCAGCCCCAGCGCCCAGCCCCAGCCCCAGCCCCAGCACCCAGCCCCTAGCCACCAACAACTTCCTTTTTCCTGTCCCCCACTTCCCTGCTCCTGCGCTCTCCCCGGCCTTTTATCAGCCCTTCTGGGGCTGATCCTCCCCCTGAACCCTGGCTGGTTCCCCTGGAACCCGTTGTTTGGCCTGACAACTTGGCTGGGTATAGCCGATTTTCTCCTCCAGGTGGAAGAGATCCGGGGCTGCATTGAGAAACTGTCGGAGGATGTGGAGCAGGTGAAAAAACAGCATAGCGCCATCCTGGCTGCCCCCAACCCAGATGAGAGTGAGTGTGGCTGCCAGTGACTGTGGGGTGGGAGGAGAAGGGGTCTGGGGTTCCCACCCAGACATCTCACTTGTCCTCGCTCTCCCCTTAGAGACCAAACAGGAGCTGGAGGACCTCACTGCAGACATCAAGAAGACGGCCAACAAGGTTCGGTCCAAATTGAAAGGTGAGGAGTTCAACCCCTCAACCAGGGAGGAAAAGAACTGTGGGTAGAGCATGGTGGCTCAGGCCTTTGGGAGGTCAAGGCGAGGCCAATTTGCTCGATCCCAGGAGTTCAAAACCAGCCTGGGCAACATGGCAAAACTCTGTCTCTACAAAAAATACAAAAATTAGCTGGGCCAGTTTGGGAGGCCGAGGCAGGTGAATCACGAGGTCAGGAGTTCAAGACCAGCCTGGCCAGGATGGTGAAACCCTGTCTCTACTAAAAGCACAAAAATTAGCCTGGTGTGGTGGTAGGCGCCTGTAATCCCAGCTACTCAGGAGGCTGAGGCAGAGAATTGCTTGAACCCAGGAGGTGGAGGTTGCAGGGAGCTGAGATCACACCACTGCGCTCCGGTCTACGTGACAGAGAGACTCCATTTCAAAAAAAAAAAAAAAAAATTAGCTGGGCATGATAGTGCGTGCCTCTTGTTCCAACTACTCGAGAGGCTGAGGCACAAGAATCGCTTGAGTCCAGGGTGTCAAGGCTGCAGTGAG